ACATTATTATATCTCCAGATTTTATATTCAATTTAGAAAATAATTTTTATTGATTAAAATTGTATGTATTAATTTGGAACAAATTGTAAAAAAGTTTTTTCTTTTTAAATATATTTATCGTTCACAGATTTTGTCTACCAGGCATGTGGATCCAGCTGTAAAGAAACATGTGATACCATAAACGGTTTAGACAATTTTAAGTGCGCGTCTGATTTTGTCGAAGGATGTTTTTGTCCAGTGGATCATGTATTCCATAATGATTCCTGTATAGCAAAGAAGAATTGTTTTATTTGTGATAAAGATGGTCACATGCAGGGAGATATCTGGCACCCGGATAAATGCACCGAATGCAATTGCAATGATGGAGTTGTAAACTGTCAAACGATGGAATGTCCTGTGTTGGATACGATCTGTGAAGAAAATATGACACCTGTACTTATCAATGGAACCGAGGAGAGATGTTGCGCCAAATATTTGTGTGGTGAGTTAACATAAATATTATCCAAAAATACATTTCTAATGTATATTTATTTATTTCAAAGTTGCATGCTTTGATGAAATTTAATTTATAAATGAATTAATAATTAATTAAATGATTAATTAGATGATTTATTATTATATTGTATCAATTAAATGATAAATTAGAATAATAAAATTAGAGAATATGATTATATACTTGTGAGAGAAATTGTTTAATACTGCAATTTCTCAATGAATAAGAATATATTTTATTGAATCCATTTATAATCTAACAACGCGTCTCTGTAGTTCCAAAGCCGACAGCGCCTACAATATGTATTGAGCCACAGGAGCCAGAATGTGGCTTTGGCCAAACAATGAAAGCAATTACAGATGTTGATGGTTGTCACAAATTTATATGTCGTATGTATAACATGTTTGTATGCATCTCTTATAATTATTTGTCTAATCCTTGCAAGCTATATAATATTGCATGTAATTTCAGAATGCTTGCCTGTAAGCGAATGTCCCATTTTCGATAATTTTACAAATGAAATTGAGCAACTACAGCCTGGTTTTATACATATAATGAATACATCTGGTTGCTGCCCGCGACCAAGTAAAATATGCGATCCAAGAATCTGTCCTTCTGCACCAAACTGTCCGGATTATTATAATGTTATTACAACAATGTTTGTAGACAATTGTTGTCCCACTTACGAATGTGGTAAAGTTTTTTCATGGTTTTTTAATAAATAATTGTCAAATGTATTATATGCATGTATGTGTTAGAAAAATGGAAGGATATTATAGTATTTATAACGTAACTTAAATTGACGTAAACATTTGTATAAAAAAAGAGCCATAAGGAGTCAGCGTAATTGAAGCGCAATTTTCTTCAAAAATACAATTTAATACGTCAAATTTGCAAATGCAATCATATATATTGTGTTATTAAGATCGTATCTTCGTCATTTTACTTTATTACTTTTTTAAGATTACAGGAGTTCTATGATTTTATTTTTATTGTACTTTTTGTATTTAAATTGACATAAATTTTTTTGAGGAAATCAATATTTTTAACAACACATATTTTTGTAAAAAAGATATAAATTCTACAAAATGAAAATATTGATTCAATTGTATTATTTTGTATTTGCATTAGTGCCGCCAAAGGATGTTTGCCTTTATACTAATAATGAAGAACAAGACAAACAACAAGTGATAGCGAAAAAAATTGGCGAAGAATGGAAGGATGGTAAATGCAAAACATGCGTGTGCGAGAATTCGGATGATGGTCCTAAAACAAATTGTTTATCCATGGAATGTTCAAGTATGAGCGCACATCCTGATGTAAACGATTATGTACTTGAAGAAATATTATTGGATGATAAATGCTGTCCAATTTTTGAGCGTACTGCTTGCAAATGGAAAGGCAATATATACAATGTAAGAATAATTCTCTAATTGTGTATACGTTATCATTTTAATATTATTATAAAAATATAATTTATACTGTTAATCATTATCATAGATTGGCGAAAGTTGGAAGCCCAATATTGAAGATGCTTGTCTCATGATACAATGTAACAAAGATTCAGGTAGTATACAGATATTGAATAAAGTTCAAGAATGTGATATCACATGTGACTATGGGTACAAATATCAAGTACCTAAAGATACCAGCGTTAATTGCTGTGGTACATGTATACAAGTTGCGTGCATTGTAGAAGGCACGCTTAAAAATGTAGGAGAACAATGGTACTCTGACGATCATTGTACAATGTATCTTTGCAAATCAATAAATGGAAGTGTAAGATTATTATTATAATCCAAATATTTACTAATTGATAAAATTATGGATTCGTTTAATTATATTATTATTCAAATTTTAGGTGTACCTAGAAGCAAGTACTGAAACTTGCCCAGAAATCGATCCGCAAGTGAAATCTGAGTTCGAAATAGAAGTAAGCAAAATTCCAGGAAGATGTTGTCCGGAAATTGTTAAAACAGCTTGTCGTAATGATGGAAAATTGTATAAACCTGGAGAAACTTGGAAATCTCTCACAGATAGCTGTGTCATCGAGACATGTGTGGATGGTCCGAATATAACAAAGCATAAAGAGATTGAAGTGTGTTCAAAACAGTGTACTCAAGTAAGAACATTCTATTATACGCACTCACGTTTAAATGTTTTTATATATATTTAAAATATTTAATTGATGGTGTTGATAAAATCTTTAAGGGATGGTCATATCAAGAACCAGAAGATGGTAAATGTTGCGGAGAATGCAAGCAAGCGTTTTGTGTGTTCGAAGATACTCTGTATGCGCCTGGCATGACATGGTCATCCGATGATAATTGTACTACTTATATGTGCATGGAAACTAACGAACAGGCAAGTTATCTTTTAAGAAGAGTAAATATCTCTGGATCAGATGCAACTAGTATCTTTTCGGAAAATTGAACTATTTACAATTAATTATATATATTATTATTTATTAATTTTGAAATTGTTTTATATTATATAACTGCACATTGATTTTATCTCTCAAGAAGAGTAAACATCTCTGGATCAGATGCAACTAGTATCTTTTCGGAAAGTTGAACTATTTACAATTAATTATATATATTATTATTTATTAATTTTGAAATTGTTTTATGTTTGTTTGTTGTATAACTGCACATTGATTTTAGCTATCTCTTGCTGTGAGTCCAGTTGCTTGTCCAGATATAACAAATTGTCCTAATGAATCAATTTATCATGATCAATGCTGCAAACGATGTAATATGAGTATTATAAATCAGATTAAAGGTAAAAGAAAAATAAAAACAAGTTCTTTGATTTATTGGAAAAATAATGCTGTATATTTTTAATTATTTTTATATTTGTGATAAAGGTTAATTAATATTCTTTATCAATAATTATTTTTTAGAAACATGTGAAGCAGTTTTCATAGATGCAAACAGTACTGTAGGTATGCTAAGTATAAATCATTCATTTCATGGAAAATGTAAAAACGTGGATGCTATTGAGGGTATTAAACAATGCAGTGGATCATGCCAATCTTCAACATTCTTTGACAATGGTAATAATGCAAAACCAAATTAAATTCTCTCTGTTATATTTTATTACAATAGTCAGCTTGATTTTTATCTTGTTTGTCTTTTCTTATGTAGAAAACTGGAATCAAGTAAATGATTGTCAATGTTGTCAAATGAAGGAATATATGGGTATCATTGCCAATTTGAAATGCGAAGACGGCAAAAGATTGAAAAAACAAATGGTAATACCGCGTTCTTGTTCTTGTCAAAATTGTGGTTCCTCGAACGTTAAGAACGAAAATAAGACAAAGACGAAGGGTTAATCTCCAAAGGATGCTTTGATCATTTATTCTTATTCATGTATTTTTAAATAAACTATTCTCTCCTGTATTTTAATACGCAAGAAGAATAAATATTTTAGTAATCTTTCGTTTATTATAATTATGAACAATCTGGAGCGTGTTTAGCGAGCGTGCAATGCGTGCATAGCATAGGTGAAATTCAGTCGAAAATCATTGAATTATATTTGGACATATTACAAATATTTAGATCAATTTTATTTTTTATATCCATTTCTACTACTGTAGATCGATTTTTCCAGAAAAAAATAAAAATTGAATTGACATCTAATTGACTTTTATTTCTTCTTGGCTTAAAATTTCAGTTTAATTTACTCTTTAGTAACATATAATTCTTTAGAATTGGAAAAAAATAAAAAGCAATAAGTTGTATCGAGATTAAAGGCGTAATATAATAGTAGAAATGGATCACATAAGAGATTAAAATTAATTTCAATATATTGATAGAAATAAATAATAAACAAAGATAATTTTGATAGAGATAGAAAAAATGGATATTATATGTACATATTGGGTTGGAGAAAAAGTTCTGTGAATTTTTAGTAAATTAAATAAAATTTAAACAAAAAATCGATATTATAACAATTCATTCAGTCAATGTATTGACTGTCCTGATTTACGACTTGTTGCCAACGCTCGGTAGGATCTTGATGCCATTCTCGTAAAATAACGCGCATGCATGAATGTGTATGTGAATTAACTTATTTTTTATCTTTTTTTAGTTATAAAGAATTAAAATTAAGAGAAAAAGATATAATGTTCGATTCATATCTTTGCGAATAATTTATTTGCTGATTCATCGAATAAATTTTCAGTTCAATTTGTGTTTATATATTATTTAAAAAAGAAAAAAAATTTAATACGTATTTTTTATTTAATTCTCAATAAAATGTCGACAAAATATAACATTAATTTATATTACAATATTTCTCTTTAATTTATATTACAATATTGAACAGACAAATTATATTATAATATTATACAGAGCCAACTATTGAAATCGAACTACTTTATCGACAAAGTCTAATGCACTTTGTTATGAGATTCCTCAAAAATTACGATGGAGCTACAAATGTTTCTTTGTACACGTGAATGGAGGAAAGCGAGAGAAAACAGTAATAACGTGAGTTACAAAACTGTACGTATCAAAGATTACTGCACAAGAAAATGATTTTTTGAAACGAAGCTAGAATTTGTATTTTATAAAAAGAGAGAAGTGAAGAATTGGAGCCGTTTTAAGAGAAACGACGTTCACGAAGGAACGGAATAAAGTAGTACTCCTTTTGTTTCTGTGGTGTATATAATGGTTATTTGCAAATATTATCGACAAGGCAATTGTCGTTACGGTCAATATTGCCAATTCGAACACATAAATCATTTCGGTAAGATATGTGTTAACATATACATTTTCACTATTCAGCTGGCAAGTAACATATCATTGTTTGACTTTCCAAGCGGGCAATACTAAAACCGAGGATGATATCGTGTAAGTATTATCGCATAAGTTTGTATATATATATATTGTGAGTTTTTATTTATGTTTACAAGTCTATATACTTAAGTTAAGATCGATCTTTTTTCTTTTTTATATTTATATACATCAGTATTCTGGTGGCGAAGGAAGTACTTCTTGCCGAGAGAGGCGGCCAGTGGTTGCTGTCTTGCTTTGCCCCACTCAAAGAACGTCCCTGTATCCCAGGGATGGAGGATTTATCTCCGGAGGAAGTTCGATGGGAGATATATAATGCACAGAAAAATGGCATGGTTGAACAAGCGGTTAGTAGATTTTGAGTTGAGTTTATGTCTGAGCAATACGATAAAGCAATACAAATGAAACTATAAAATAAAGGATCCCTGAAAGAAAAATTTTTCTGTTGCCCAGATAAATCATGAGAATCTATTTATTGATATATCAAATCATAGACTATTATTTTTGCATATTGTTTTTAGAAACTACACTTTCAACAATTGTGTCAAGACATGAAGGCGAAAAGGGAAGTGCTGAAAAATCCTACACGAGAAACAATGACGTTGCTGGTATGTCAAGTGACATGGCTTTCTCCATGTAATTGTTTTGATTAATCGATTAAAGTCTCTCAAATATATTTATGAATGATATGATTGTTCTAGAAAAAAATTTTAGGAAGTGGTCAAAAAGGTAAGCCAAATGCATACAACCACATAGCATGAAATATTTAATGTGCATCATTTTTTTTTAATTTCAATAAAATATTTCAGAAATATTTCAGAAATGTTTCATTAGCATTTGTAAAACATTTTAAAATATTACATATTAAAATATTTCATAATATTTTAGAAATGTACAAATATTATAAGAAGAAAAATATTTTAAAAACTTTAATATATTTTCTGGATATTTATATTTCAGAAATGTTTCATGAAAATTCTGAAAAATTTTAAATCTTGTAATGATATATATATTTCGGAAATATTTCATGTTTTCTGAGGAAATTATCTATTTTATTTTTTGCAGCTCCTCAGCTGAGCTTAGTCAATAACACGTCGACTAATAACGTGTTTGGAAATACAACGTACAATGTGCAGAATAATAATCCATTTGGTGGATTCGCCTCCTCGAACAATACATCGTCAATATTTGGTAAGTCCAATAATAATACAGCATTTGGCAATGCGACTTTCGGAAATAATCTCGGCGGATTTGGTACTACAACGAGTGGTGCTGGCTCCATTTTTGGAACAACGAGCACGTCGACAGCATTCAGCGGTGTACAGAACAATACATCAGCATTTGGAACGCAACAGACGAATCCGATCTTCGGCGGATCACCTCAAAATGTATTCGGTCAAAACAATGTATTTGGCGGGACGAGCCAGCTTGGCAACGCGCCTACCACCTCGCTGTTCAATAATCCGATGACTTCGCAAGCGAGCACTTCGCTGTTTGGCGGACCGACAACCACCACCTCGAATTTGTTTGGTGGCTCGTCCACCGGATTACAAACAAACCCGGTCTTTGGCGTCTCGACTACGTCATCATCCGGCTCCTTCAACAACGGGATATTCACTCAGCCAAAAACGCAAATGCATGCATTCGGTGGAGCGCCAGTTTTCGCGGGAGTAACTACCAATTATGCCAACACTTCCACTGGCAATTCGTTATTTGGCGGCGGTCAAACGTTTGGCGCTCCCACAAACGGCATCTTCGGTGTATCCACGGCTGCTGCAACGCCAGGTTTTGGTGCGGCTGCCGCTATCACCACGCCAGCTTTTTGTACGCCTATCGTTGCCGCGACGACACCAGGTTTTGGTGCATCCGTCGCTACCACGGCGCCAGCTTTTGATCTAAATCAACAATCCAGCAATAATACCTTTGGAACGACCGTATCCGCTCCCAATGTCTTTGGTGTACAGAATACCGACACCATGTCGACAAGCAACACGCCATTCGGTGCGCCGTCTGCCGCGATCAGCGGCCCGTTCGTCACCACTAGCTCGCAACAATTTGATTCTACAAACACGAGCTCGTTTGCGGGAACAGGATTCGGCGCGGCCATCGCGAGTACAAATAATACATTCGGCACCACAGAAACCTCTTCCAATTCATTATTTGTGAATGCGGGAACTACCTTCGCAACCTCCAACGGAACCATTCCAAATCCATCACCATTCTCCGCATCGACATTCGGCAGTATCAATACTTCCTCCCCGTTTGGTTCACCTGCTAGTACAACTGTTACAACAACGACACCCGCAAATCCATTTGCACCACGGCCACAACAAGACGCTTCACCGTTCGGAAACGTTGCGCAAAATCAATTAAACATCAACGTTCCTCCTTTTGGAAAATCATCGTTTAATACCGCTATAACCAACAACATCATCGATGACAGCGTTTATAGTGTGGATAGTGCATTAACGGATGATGAGAAGAATATGTTCTTGGCTGAAAAATTTATCATCGGCAAGATACCACTCAAACCTCCTACTAAAGATATAAGATGACTTGGTAATATCATCTATGAACTTATAATGATATGTATTAAATGTATACTGTGATAAAGGTATTATTTCTGCTGTAAATATCTAAATCTTTATAATCTAATATGTCTAAATAGGTTTTTAATAGAAATTATAGTTGTAAAACTAATTAAAGACTCTTATTAATTTCGATATCAATAACTTTGTTAATTCAACAATTAAAGAGTCACCGATGAATTATGTGCCTGAATGATGTGGGCAAAAGGGATTTTATTTAAAAACTCAATTTGATGTACGATTCTTTTTAATACAATGAAATAAAGTCATTACTAAGTTCATATAACCATTGTTTTATATAATTCGACATTTAATCAACGCACCAACATAAATCAAACATCTTTTGTATCAACGTTTTTTTAATTTAATGAATGATACATGATATTTACATATATACAAGCGATGATCGATTGTATCACAAACTATGAAACGTCTTCATAGATTTTTATAATGGATTACTCCGTGTGAAAGAGATGGGGTAGCAGGAGGAGGAACAGGAGGTACAGGAAGCGGTGGTACGCTATTAATGAATTGCGTGCCTTCCGAAACCTGTAAACAACATATGGACACGCTATTCCTAGGCTCGTGTAATTGGATTTGATACTATGTAGACACGTTTATAAACACACCTGCGGCAAGTGGCACAGAGAGTTCGACGGATAATTACTTCGTTGCGCATAAGTCGCAGACTGATTGGACGTCTGCGACAGGCCGGGTGGTATACCGTTCGAGGATTTGTATCCGGTGACCTGAAAGAAAGACAACAAAGTTCTATGTTAATACACGAAAATCGAACAAACTTTTATCAACAATATTTATTGTAGAAAATCGAACAAACTTTATCAACAATATTTATTGTAGAACGGATCAGATACCTTGTCATTTATTTCAGGAAATATCGTGCTTAGATTGAAATTGGTGAGACTGGTTCCCGATGGATGATGCGGCATGGCCATCGGATTGCTCGAGACGATTCCTCCACGGACCATATTAGAGTTCATAGAGAAACTGGCCGCTCCCACGGTTGCGACACCCTGAGCACTTGCCATGGCCGACGGTGGGGGCGGTGGAAGACCATTCACAGTCTTGGCATAGACGTTCGTTTGCGGATGATTCTGATAAAGAGGATTGGCATGTGGTGGCGGCGGTGGTGGTGGAGGTGGAGGTGGTGGCGGTGCCAAAAATGTTGAGTGATGATAGTCTTCCAGCGGAGAGTTGATGCCAGACAACGGAAACTCCAGGTTTTGCATAGGACCGCTCTCGAGAGCTTTTCGTTTGCCCTTCTTCGCGGCAGTGGAATACGAACGTTTGTCGCAGTTGGGATGCTTTCCATAATGTTGATGATTCTTCCCGTTCCCGTTGGCATTGCCAGTCGTAGTGGAAGTCGTGTTCACGCTGGACGTGTTAGCAGTACTAGCACTCGACGAGCTGCTCGTTCCGGCCACGTTTGGCAACAAAAAATTGTTGGCTTCTTGTACATAATCGGCAGCATTCTCATGCAACGGCATGGTCATGTAGCTATTGGGCGTGTTGGAGATGCTAGTGATGAAATTGCTGGTAGGATAGATAGAGTTGGCAGAATTGGACGAGTACGTGTATGTGTTGAAGTTCTGATTGACCACCGATTGACCGTAACCGGCCGCAGTGCCGTCATCCGGTGGTGGCGCGCTAGAAAAGTAATTTATAGGCATCACCGTAGCATCCGCGGACAAACCACTTTGGAATTTATTTTGAGGATAATTGGTTGTGAACTTGATTGATGCGTGCTTATCTTGATGACTGCTAGTATCATGAATACTGGTGCCAATCAATGCCTCCGCTGTGTAGTTGCTTTTGCAATTTCTGCTTCTCCAATGGACGTTATTCTGTTGATATTTTTGCTGTGGTTGTTGCTGCTGCGATTGCTGGTATCCCTGTTCCGTGAACACGTGCCCAGATGATTTTTGTTCCTCGTGTCGCTGATGCAAATTGTTGTTATCATTGGTCGTCGTAGACTTGCGAATGTCCATTTGTCGCTTGCTAATTGTTCTGGGACTTGCGTTGCTCTTCCTCTGGTGTTTCCTAGCCTGCTGTTGTTGCTGTTGCTGATGTTGTTGTGAATGCTGATGCTGATGCGGATGATGGTGTTGATGATGCTGATGCTGCTGATGATTCTGTTGTTGATGGCTCTTCTCTGCTTTTTCATGTTCTACTAATTGACTCACAGATAGGAAGGTGGAAGCTGGATGCTGTGCATTCTGAGTGTTTAATATTGCATGTAGATCTCGTCCCGATACGTTCGCTTCTTTCTCCTTTATGGATGGATCCTTGCTCTGCTCTGCAGAGATTCTTGACGATGACGTTGCAGCGCTGAACAAGAAATTCTGTTTCTCCAGATTAGCGCTAAGATCGAGATCACCTACTAGACTTTGCAAACTCGATGGTACAATATGTTGATCAATACACTTGACCGATGACTGGCCGATCGCATGCTCGACGCTATTGTGAACGCTGTTTTTTGTCGGAGACCACGGAAACGGTTGTTCCTCGGAATAAAAGGTTTCCGCGGGCCTCTTCGGATCGCTTTGCAGAACCGGTAGATTTGGGAAGCTGTGAGCAGCAGAAACATCATAATTGTTGTAGAATTGATTCGGAGTGCCCTGATTGTATGTGGGTGTTTGCGTAAACAGATTGTTTGGGCAGAACTCCAGTTCTTTGCCAATCGGTGGTAGAATAATATCGGTAATATTAGCGTTGTGCTTGACTTCCGGTGTCATCATCCAATTAACCGGCGCCTTGATTGCATGTTGCTGATGTTGATTACTCTTAGACTTATTATTGTTACCGTTGTTATTGCTACCATGAGATTGTTGTGGTTGCTGTTGCTGCTGGCTGTGTTTCACATCGCTACTGTAATTACCGCTGTCATGCAGAGAAATCTGTCCTTGAGTGAGAACCTGATATTTGTGCTGACTTGGCTGTTGCGTCGTTTTCTCCGCGTATTTGAAATTCACGCCAGTGTAAGCCTCGATTGGATATTTCATCTGCACGTTACTTTCCGCCAGGTCGAAGTTAATCTGTGGTTCGTATGTGTACATCGTCTTTTCCTGCTTGGATGATAGATTTTGATGATTCTTTTGTCCGTGTTGCTGGGAATGCTGCTGTTGTTCCATGGCAGAACTGAATTCGTTCTGCATGTAATCCGAATCCATATTATACTTGTTCTTGCTCTTACCACCATCAGGAAACTTGTAATCATTGCCAGTCTGTGGATTTTGCATTCGATTCTGTTTCAACGAATCATTTCTAGTTTTCGAAGGATCGATGAAAGATTGTTTCTGCGACTCGATCTTTCCTTGTCGCGATTTATCGATTCCAGTTGACATGGTTGAATTATTCGGATAATTATCGCCAATCAACACTTGATTAGAAAAACTCGAATTGTCCTTGTGCAATGGTACATAGCTGTAATTTTCACAGATAGTCTTTGCTTCATTATTATCATTCGAATGTGGCTGTCCTTGATCGTAGTGTACCAAATTGTTATTGTTACCACCACTGACCGGTGAGAATGTCGTCCACGAGAGGATACTAAAATTGGATGAATTATGAGCGACAGTGGTTGTGGACTTGGTGTGATTCTCTGTCATCGTACTCTGTTCGTAGTTGGATGTAGTGATAAACGATGAGGTCTGTTGCGAGTATCGTGCAATAGCACCTTGTTGCACTGCTGCTGGCTTATTGTTATTGTTGGCCATGGCAATAGTTGAAACAGCGACATTCGTCTTCTTGTCATTTTTACTAGGATATGAAACGTAATTACTGTGTGTGCCGTCGGTATTTGTATTCAGAACGTTCGTTCGCTCGCTAGGATTACTCATCGCTTCCTTAACGTCGTACTGATATGATTGAACGAACGGATCTACATCCGGTCTATGTTCCAGCTTCTTTGCTGGAACATAGACCGAATCACGCATGTGATTGTGTTGTTGTTCTTGAGTTTTAGAGCCGAGTACATTATTCAGTTTCGTCTCTTGATTCACCTGATTCGAACTGTTCAATGTGTCCGTGTTTTTATTTAGTTTGGAATAGTTTCGTTGGAAAGTATTCTCCGAAGAATTCTGACTCGTAGTCTTTGTGACATATTCTTGATTTCGCGACGGAGTATTTGTGGTCTCGTTATCTCCACTTGTATATGATATGGAGTCCTTCTGCAATACTTTCGTTTGATTCCCAATGTAATCATTGTGAGAGCTCGCGATAATATGTTCTTGTTTTTTCTGAACATTAAATGTCTGCTGAGAACCATTCAAATCTAAGAGAACATGACTGTCCTTGGTCTGACTATACATATGTTGCATGTCTTGAGAAGACAGAATCGGAAGGGAGGAATCTTTGGTTGACAAAGAATAATTCTGCATGCTCTGGGACGTCACTGGAAGACTTCGATCCATCTGATTAGAATAATCGACACGGTGATCAGAAACGATACCAGTAGAATCGATTAGTGTGTCTTTGTTGTGCGATGGATAAATTATGTGTGATGAACTCTGCGAGCCCTTATCTTTTGTTTGAGTCGAATAGTCTGTTTGCAAGGATCGTAAAGCTGCGGTTGAAGAGTTTGTGGTCACAGTTGTGTTTTCAAGACGAGTGCTCAATAGATTTTGAGAACCATTGTTGTCGACGCGCGGACCTTCTGTGGGATTCGATTCTTGCGTCGTCGCGATAGCATTTTTGAACATAGACGAATTAGACGTATGTTGCATTGTGCCAAGACCATTGCCCACTATTGTTGAGTAACTAGGCAAGAAGTCCTGAGCTCCGGAATACGCTATGTCGGGAGTGCGGCTCGTCGCTACTTGCGTCGATGTACAATCCGTGATATCGCTTTTATTATTAGTAGATGGAGTGTTTACTGAAGCTTGGATGTTTACTGACGCTTGAGACGTAATTACATTGATATTATTCAACGTGCTCGTTGTTCTCAATTGACTCGGACGACCTTGATGCGCCGTCAAACTTGGAGAATTACCTACGATACACGAGGAGTCCACAGTAGAGAAATTGACTGAGGTATGAGAAGGAAACGCATTGGTGGTCATCACAGATTTCTCTAAGTTCGGTGTCAGGACGGTCTGAACTATCTTGTATGGTTCCCGCAACGTTTCTTCATTCACAACCTTCGGCAAAGACTTTGTCGTCGCACATTCCACAGGAACGATTACATCGGTGTTTGCATTTACATTCGCAGATGCAATTTTCTCTTCGCAGGACGTTTTCAGTCGCTTCTCCGCAATCGCATGCGATGGCGAGGAAGTCTTAATCTTGAAGCTATTCGGCTCCATGGTGCCAATCTGCAATAGCATTGGTGGAGTCTGACTATGATATTTAAAGTCATCTTTCATCTCCTCTTCCAAGACCTCGGTCTTGCCGTTCAAGGACGACACTAGTGGGAAAGCCATCAGGAATGCTGCTGTGGGTGATATCGATTCCGGATTATGCGAATTGGAGGGAACATGCAGAGATGCAAATATGTCATTAGACAAGTCTGAGTGTAGCCCGTCCGTTCTATTGCTGATCGGTACGAATGTATTGTCGGTGGTGTATGGCAATGATTTCGATATTTCGTCCTTCGAAGTCTTTGTCAATTTGGCCTCGTTGTTGACTGTGTTGGCTGTTAATGGTGATGACACCGATAACGATGACGACGATGTCGACACTGATGTCGTAACATCGACAATGTTTGCGTCGGATTTCATCGTTGTTGTAGTGTTTGTGTCCAAATTTAGAATGATTTTGTTGCTTTCCGCGCCGGTCATAGCGTCATTAATTCGCTGTTGCTCCTTGGCCGTCGCTACACATAGAAGACTATCAAAATGCGTGCCCAGATTGCACGTTTTCTTCGGTCCATCCGAACCGACAGCTTTCTCCGCCACTACATCTGTCAAGGTCGATTTCGCACTCAAATGATCTACATTTTCACCATTTTTTTCCGTTATGCTTTCTCTCGACATGTTGAAAACATTGGATGGTCGATCTATAGATGTATCTGTCTCAGGCGACTCATTGGAAAATTTGTCCGAAGAAACAATCTGTGATACGACAACATCTTCGGTTGTTTTCTTATTCATATCAAAACAATTTGTGCTTATGTCTATCAATTTGTTTGTCGTAGACGTTTTTTCTTGACTCTCGTTTACTTGAATAACTGTACTTGATTTCGCAGCGGCAGATTCCTTCTCATTACTGACAGTGGTATGCTCTTCTGGGATGTCCTCCCCTATTTTTTCTATAACGTGCTTCAAACCTACGATAGATTTGCAAGTGGCGGTGAAATCTGTTGCTTTTGAAACAACTGATTGGGCAGATTTCGCTTCGCCATTTGTGTCTTTACGCTTCTTGTCATCAGGTTCATCCGCGGAATCACATTCAGATAAACCACGTTTAGGTGTGCCTTTTCGCGGAGTTGCATCCTCTTGAGTTTTGGCAAGTTCTTTCGATGATTTCTTCTCAATATTTAACTCCTCGGGTGTTTCTGGCATACTCTGGACGCTTTTATGACTCTTGGAGTTATTTTTGTTACCCTTTGATTTCACTTCTAATTCTTTCTTGTTTGCACTATCCTTAGGCTTCTCCATTTTCTCCTTGTGTATCGCTGGAATAGGCACTTTGTAAGCCATAGTTGTTGTTGTAATTTCCTTACCTTTCGGCAAGATACCCTTGTGTCCGCCGATCTTCGTGGCGTTGATTATATTCTTTACATTTGACGCCCAATTGTGAGAATCGACGACCATATTCGCACGAATATTCGGTACGGTGTTCAGAGTGACTTTCTGCACAGTGTTAATTAGAGCGTGATTGCATATTGAAACGACGGAATTCTGGACACGATTTGCCAAGGGTTGCATTACAATCATCTGATTCTGTTGAGTGTTACCGAGGATTATCGGATTCGTCGATGCCTGCTGCGTATTCACGATGATGTTTGATGTCATCGGAGTTACGAGGGGCATCAATTTTCCACCAGATAAAATAAGAGCATTAGGAGTTAAATTGGTGACGGTATTGGCCACAGATGGCAATGTCGAATTTTTTTCATCCTTGCGTTTGCGTTTTTTCTTCAATGACTTTTGAGATTCGACTTTTTTGTCCTCTGAAAACAGATTTACATAATGTCAAATACAGTAATATAAAAAAGTAATATAAAAAACGATATATTAATATAAAAAATGTGTTAATTATTTTACCGATTTTCTTTTTCTTAGTGGTTGTTCCTGTCGCAGTCGCTTCATTAGCAGAATCTAAATTAAAACATGAGAATGATAAAAATTTACAAAGACTTTAAATAAATCATTTGATTAAATAACAGTAATTCTAGATTTGTTTATACCATTTTGACAATGCTCCGCTTCTTTCGATCCAGTTTCAGGTAGACTACTTGTACTATCGGAATTATAGTTTTTGCTATTGGCACAGTTTACTCGATTTTCTTGATTTTCTATCAAATTACAAACTTTCTTAGCGACGGCAGCTTCCTCGGACAACTTTTTCGGAGCCGACGATGTTGCAGATTTTCTCTTAGAAGGCACTTTATTCTCCATGGATTTCTCCTTCTTTTTCTTCTCTGAAGTTTTCTCTTCAAGAATGATTAGATAATTAGAAAACTTTAATACTTTTAATTTTAACTTTGCATCAACATGTAATGCACTTACTTTCTTCGATCTTATCAAAATACTTGTCTACGTCGTCGACATTAATTTTGTTCGACCATTTTAAGGGAGATATTTTTTCAAGAGCTGGTTCAGCTGGTACAGAAATTCCTGCTTCTTTGAGAAGAGTGGATAGTAACTGAGTGCGAGACGTCAGCTGTATTACCAGTTTCTTCAAACGTGCCAATTCTTCTTCTGGAAAATCAAAACAATACATCACTACTGAATAGATTTAAAAACTGAAATTTTCTTTTTCTAATATATATACTGCGTGAATCTTAAAATACATACTGTGTGCCTCGGAAGCGTGAGTGGAGAATAATTCGTCAGTACGACTATGGAGGTCTTTTATGTACTTTGAAGCATGGATCAGAATGTCGACCTTGTTGCGTTTGCGACCTTCCTGATGCGGCGGCAGAAGATCCGCCAATGTCTTGAAGTACGCGTTCATACGTTTTCTTCGATCTCGCTCCCATGTTTTTGCTTTGCTGCAATGAGATTTGCAGGTAGAAAGAAAATAGAAAGACATAAATGACATAGAGTATTTTCCATTTGATGACATAAGTTGACACAAATCGACACAAGCATTGTTCTATTCTTGTTGACATTTAGAGAGTAACAAAGATTGAATGACACTTGTGTCGATTTGTATCATCAGATGAAAAACCCATAATGATTTCGTTATTCACTGCAAGTACTAAAAACCTATAGTTCACGTTATCCTATAGATTTTCAATACTTGCAATGAATAATAGAATGCAGCCAGTGTAATCATTACATCCTTGTTTGCCAATGTTAAACAAAAGATGAAACGATCACTGTGCCGTTTACTGGAAAGTATCATAGAACAGATGAACTGGAACATTTCCTCGCGTAATTATCATCACGTTTTTTAAATAAGAGAAGAAACTTTAGAGAAACTTAAATCGGACAGACCGTAAATAACAAGGTAACTGTGTGACAGGTTAGAGAATCGAAAAATTTTAAAGACTCACGTGTTCTCCTTTCGTGGCATAATTTATCCGCTTGACATCGTTCTGTAAAGATAGCGTGTCGCGAGAAGCGCCGGTGCGTCACTTGTCACCGACATTACGCGATCGCGAAAATTGCTTTCGTAATTCTGACATTTTCGTTCCACTAGCGAGATACAAAACACAGTGCTAGCAGCTACAGCTGTGTGTCGTGCAGCGGGGGATGGAATGAGCGGAGAATGCGAGCTTTCGATTTGGGTTCGTCGCGCTATCTCGCAACAGGAATCTGATTTATCGACGGAAACTCGGATTTCATAAAATATTTCAAGAATATATTTCCAAAATGTTATTACAAGATTTTATTATAAATATTTCAGAAATTTTTCATAAAATATATCTGAGATATAAATATACAGAGTTTTAGAAAAAAATTTTTTTATAATATTTTTGTACAATATTTCTAAAATGTTTTTAAATATTTGAATGCAATGTTTTAAATATTTTAAAATGTTTATAAAATATTTCTGACATATTTTATTGAAGTGGATTTTGTTATAAAGTTACAATAGGTGAAAAATGGATCTAGATGGCGCGTAAAATTTCCGAGAACATCGATGCGATTGTCTATTGTTTTGTTTTCTGTATCTAAACTGAGTAAGTTGAACTTTCTGCACTTTTCAGCTTTCTTTTCTCTCTAACTACACACCTGCACAGTGCAACTTTTTTTTCTCTCTCTCGCTCTCTTTCTTTTTCTCCGTTGACGACATTGTGACGTCAAACTCGAGATCGAGCATTTTCACATGCTCTCTACACTTTTTTTTCACATCATTCTTTTCGCTTATTATTCAAAATGTGAATGATTACTACATCTTTTATATAAATACGAGAGAGAGAAAACGCAATAAGGCAAGTTGAAAACAGATTTTTCTTTTCATCTTGAATCAACGAGTTAAGTCGAAGATCTGGAGATCTCACGCTTCGACCTTCGATAACTGATGAGATCAGTGATGCCGATATCTCTTCTCTCGAGACAAGACAAGACGCTGGGAGAGATCGAAACACCTTTCACAATAATCTCTCACGGTCGCGTGTTCGATCGTGCGTAAATTTTTTGTTGAAATTATAGTGAATAGAACGCGCAGGCGTTATAAAGCTTTCAGTTGTAGGACAAGGGCAAGGACGTGGAATTGAAAACGAGACTCAAGAGCGATATCGACGTTGTTTTCTTAAACAACAGCGATTCCATGGCTCATTGATCCTTCAATAATGTACCATGAACGTTTACATTGAGAAATTTCGCAGAAAAGAGAAAATTGAAAAAATTTTGGAAACTTTTTTTGCCTTTCTATTTATTTTAGTTAATTCTCCTCGAATTTAATTCCCAACAACGGAATCGAAAAACCGTTGAAAAATTAAATTTCTACTTTCTGAAATTATACAGAGACAGTCAATCCGCTATTCAGTAAATGCCAATTAGGTATAACAGTATGTAATATTATATCAATATATTATAATTTCCTACTCAATAATGTATGTAACTGTTGTGTACATACATCTTGCATCTGTTCTACTACTTGTACACTTATAATATTGAGTGGAAATTTATATATTATATTTAATGTGACTTGCAAATATTTTCAAACTCAATTAAACTGCCAATGGAAGAGAATGTATAATGAATATAAAGATAAATATAATAATAATTTATTTTTAAAAGCTAATATAATTATTCATATTTTGACGGGTAGTGTAATTAAATGATTTCGAAAACAGAACTGTATCGTTTAATTATTATCCGGATTATTGATACTCTTTTTGCAGCAGCGATACCCAGAGATCTACTTTTAATCGCGCTCTATACGCTTTTTCATTCGAAGAAACATATTTTTTTCCTTTGTTTTCCCCAGCAAAACGAGAATGGATTGAAAAATGAATTGAAATGAATTCAGAAATATTGATTCACGAATGTCAAAATGAATGCTTTTCAATCCTGAACGCATTTTTATTCATTTATAGGAATTACATGGAACATATCTTTATGCCTTTCAATCTAAAAATAATATACTTTTTCTGTACATTGTGAATACTGTTCAATTCAAAATTTTGAATAGGAAATGCAGTTTTTCAATCCAATTGCATCCAATTGAATCCAATTGAATCTAATTAAATCCAAAAAAAAGTATTCACTATTTATTAAATACGCATTCGGATAGAACAAAAATTTCAATCTACTTTAATCTATTCTCGTTTGCTAAGTTCTTTTGCAGTCGTATTTCATAATGCAGATGAGAGAGATAAAGAAAGAGAAACGGGAGTCTCGCGTCGCCTTGCGCGGAAACGATTTCCCAGCTTCCCGAATGGGACGGGGAATGCGGAGGCAGCGGACACACATATCGGTGCACGCACGCGTGGTGGGAGTGAAACCGTTCGCGGGATCAGCGACGACGGTAGCGGCAGCGAAGGGTTGGCTCGTTCGGGGAAAACAAGTTCGCGTCGTTCGTCGTAAATGTTCTCGCACGCGGAGAATCTCACGAAAGGGAAAACAATTCATCCGTGATATCCGTCCCTTGTGGACTTGGCCATCGCGCGTTCTACGCTTCGAGAGGGGAATCGGGGTCGGAGGCGGACGATAGCCCATGGGCGAAGAATGTCAAGCGCGAGAGTGCGCGAGTGCAAGTAGTAGAAGCTGGTAGAAGCCGTAAACGCCGAGAGTTCCGGAGGGGCAATCAATTTTCCACGTAGTGCGTTTATATACGGTGTGTGTGTATATATGTGTGTGTGTGTGTGTGTGTGTATGCGCGTGTACCGTACGTGTATCGCACGTCGCTGAACCTCGCGTCATCATATCGTGGTGTTGGTCGCTAGTCGAGATCGCGGTCGACTTCAAGTAGTAGAGGTATAGCTCTCGCGGAGTTGCCGAAACATCCGAGCGTGGTTCATTCGAGGCGCGCGATTTATTGATAATAAAGACAACTGGCAGCTACTGGAATCGTCTCCGTATCGAAAGCGCCGAAAGGAGCCGAAAGTAGCGACGTAAAGGGGATAGTTAGCGGAGAGAGGGTATCAAGTGCGTATGCTGCAAAATCTGGAGAAGACTTGGCGAATGGGGGCACGGGTACGTTGCTGAAAGAGAAGGAGAGAGAGAGAAAAGAATCCGCGAGACTTGCGTCAGCGCGATTCGACACGGATTGTTGCGCGAATCACCTCAATACACCTTGATATACGATACAAATCGACACAATTCCGCTGAATTCGCAAATACCAGCGTTATGTGAGAACGAGCCTTGTGTTTACGATTTACGATGCGTCAACGCGACGAGTGACGTAGAATCTCCCTCGGGAGATTTTTTTTCCTTTCCCTCTTAGCCGCGCCTGTGTTTTCCATTTAAAAACTCCAGAGATTCGCGATCTTCCATTTACGCACGTACGTGTATATCGATTTACGCGCGAGTGTCGTCTCGCGAGTCGCACGCGCTTTCTTTCTCTCCTTCCCCTTTGTCCTCCTCTCCTCTTCCCTTCTCCCCTCCTCCCTCCCTCCCCCGTATTCCCCTCCTCCCTTCCCTCCCCCGTATTCCCCTCTTCCATGAGCGTCCTCGTGAAATTACGCGATCGTGATGATTTCTGCTCGTCGAACGTTGTGACGGATGGCGACGCGGAAACACGTCACATCTCGTCGTCCTTCGTCACGGAAATAATCCTCTGTATTTGCGCGCAATTGTACCATCAGCAGGTTGACGTATGAATGGTGTCGGGGTCACCGTAGGGACACACGCCACGTACGTGAATTCGTTTGACAAGATGTCAACGACCACCGATATCAGTAACTTGGCGGTGGATCTCCCCAAGGAGGGGACGCCAATCTTCCTGCAGACCCGCGCAGCCTGGGCCATCGCCGGAGTGTTTATGGCTGTTGCCCTTTTCTTCACTTGCCAACAGGTAATGGAACTGTCAATAAAATACAAAGCCTAATCTGTATTCTTTTTGTTTCCTGTTTCTTGATTTTTTTCTCTATCTCTTGCCATTTTCCTTTTTTACAATCGTTTAATAATCGCGTTTGTTGTGTTTCTTTTTCGAAGTTCATCAACTCTTATCTTGAGTGACAGAAGATGAAGAAACAGAATTAAGGCCTAATTCCATATAAGATTAACTGTAATCTGGATAATAGAATTAAGACTTGGTTCCATGTAAGATTGACTATAATATCTTAACTTATTCTTCATATTTTTCTAATTTTTAGAGTTAGAAAGAGATAAAAAGGCAAGAGAAAGAAGTAAAAAATGATAAGAAGCAAAAAACAGGAAGCAAAGAACGCATTGTAGATTAGACTTAAGATGCTTGATTTGCGATATAATCACTTTTCTCTTTTTTCATTATTTGTAGATCTATCAGCATCTGAGGTGGTACACAAATCCCACGGAGCAGAGATGGATAGTGCGAATTTTGTTTATCGTGCCCATTTATGCCATCTACTCCTGGATCTCGCTGTTGTTCTTCAATAGCGAGAGCTACTATGTTTACTTCTTCACGGTGCGGGACTGTTACGAGGCATTTGTTATATATAATTTCCTGTCACTATGCTACGAGTACCTAGGCGGTGAGGGCAACATCATGTCCGAAATCAGGGGCAAGCCGATACGCTCCAGTTGCCTGTACGGCACCTGTTGCCTGGTTGGAAAAACTTACACCATCGGATTTCTAAGATTCTGCAAGCAAGCCACTTTACAGTTCTGCTTGGTGAAACCAGTGATGGCATTTGTCATCATATTTCTGCAAGCCTTCGGCCATTACAGAGACGGAGATTGGTCACCGGACGGTGGCTATATTTACATCACGATAATTTACAATATCAGTGTATCGCTTGCACTTTATGGGCTGTTTTTATTCTACTTTGCTACGAGAGACCTACTGACGCCGTTTGAGCCTGTGCTCAAATTTTGTACAGTCAAGAGCGTCATCTTTTTGTCATTCTGGCAAGGTAACATCTGAAATTAAGCATTTATAAGTATGTGGAGTTAAATAATTGATAACAACAAACTTTTTTTATGCAGGAGTGCTGCTAGCTATCTTGGAGAAAGCAAATGTCATTTCACCCGTTATAAACAGTCTAGGTCAATCAACGAGTGCTGGCACAGTCTCCGCCGGTTACCAAAATTTCCTCATTTGTATCGAGATGTTATTCGCTGCTATAGCTTTACGTTACGCGTTCCCGTATCAAGTATACGCAGCTGGATGTGTTACTGACTCCAGGGGTAGAAGCGTGACGATGCAAAGTATTAGTAGCAGTTTGAAAGTATGTTTACAATATTCCTGAACTTTTTACAGACATATATTCTTTTTTTTTTGTTTCGTTGATTTAGAAATACTCTATTCGACAATAATATTTTATAGGAAACGATGAATCCAAAAGACATTATGACCGATGCCATCCATAATTTCCATCCACAATATCAGCAATATACTCAATATAGCGCAGGTATGTGTTATTTTTTGTGCTATAATTTTTTTTATGCTAATTTCTTTTAAGAATTTCTATATAGTTATTTACTACTATATGTACATTTTTATTTATTTTTATTATCGATATGTTTATGAATCTTCATACAGCATGATAGTGTGTGATATAAAATTTATGTCATTTATTTAAGTTTTTGTATGTATTGTCTCACATACAGTTATTTTTTTTCTCATGCATTCATAAGAAAATGTCATGTTAAAATAAGGCGGTGATACTGAATGTTCTAATTATAGAGCAAGATTATCTGACATGTAATGTCAATAATGCCAATAATAGTTACACAAGATACACGTTTTATTCAAGATTGCAAACGCTTCAGTTACAGGCTTTGGCGCTTTTGTATATAATTTACTTGTACTCTTTCTGACACTTCACTGCTGATCAATGCAGGCACCGATATTATTACATTAATATTCACTCTCACATATGTATAGCAAAGTTCACGCAAGTTTCAAGCAAATGCGAAATTCACGGATAGTATAGAATCTCTGCTTTCAAAGATAGTCCTCTAATAATATTTATTATTTTACTTGTATAAAAGATTAATTATATAAAATTTCCTTAATGTGTGCCGGTTTATTAGACAATTCAGATAATTACTTTGAAGGCACTTTTGTTTGATGTTTTTCAGACGTTAGTACCAACTTGCCGTACGAAAAGATATGACAGTGAGGCATCACTTTTTTAATTTCAAGAAATTGGACATCGACTTTATGCGCGACTTTAAATGAAGATCGAAAAGAAAGATACTTCATACAGCACTATACTTTGCTTACGGAATTATACAATGCCTTAGAGATCGGTATCTGTCTACAAAGGGTCAATTTCTCGAAAATGATTTCTACGCTGAAATTACAGAATAAGGGTTGTACTTAATATACTATCGATATATACGTATTATATGCATATAAGATCATCTATTTTGCGATTAACAAACTCTGCTGTAAAATAGAAGTTAAGCACTTAACATAAGAGGAGCATTTAGGAAAGAGAGAAAAAGAAAAATGGGAAGGGAGAGAATAGTGTACTTCTACAGTGTTGCTCTATAATGAAAACTGATTAGGAGTACAGTTTACTTAACACTACAAACGCTTTGAAGCATTTGATTGATCAATCACAAAGAAAATTTTTTCAAAGCTTTTGTAACATCAAGTGGACCAGATCCTAAGCATTAGTGTAATATTTTTTTTGTTTTTTTTTAATAACATATAACTCAACTTAATTTTATTGCTTTTATTTTTATATTCCTATCACATGGTACCATGTAGCATGCGAATATACGGTATAAAATGGCCGAGCATGTAAAGCACATCATTATATCCTTTTTCCCAAAGGTACAGCATACAATGGTAAAATTATCACGATCCTAGCTGCTTGCGATTATTTTTTTATATTAATAACAATTTGCATGAATCGTTTATATTGCGATATTATCGCATTAATATATTTTTTTTTTGCACCTTTGTATCATGTGTATACGTAAGAATTTGAACTTTGTTGCTCTGATCAAGTTTCTTGCGCAGCTCGATATGCGTTATCAACGGTTTTCATGCAGAGTTCGAAATTACCAAATATACCGAATTTAGACATCAGGGGGCAAATTTCAATAGGAATTTAATAGATCTTTTAAATAAACGATTTTCTCTGTATAATATAAGGAATGAATTTGTCAGAATTATTATGCCAATTTTGAGCCTTGATTTTGTGAACGCATTTCCAGAGCAAGAACGTTCGACAAATGTGACATTTTGGAGAAGATTGATACAACGTTGGTGTATTCGGTCATATAATTTCACGATTGTGAAATTAATATAAAAGTTGAATTAATATTTAAAGAAAATTAATTAAAGGAACCGATTGGTCAATTTTGGCGCATTTATTGACCAACGGACATGTGTATCTGATGTGTTTGCTCACTGTAATGTGTAACAATGATGTAACAATTAGGGGGCCCAAAAGGACAACGTGGTATGCGAGTATCCAGCTTCGATCCGGATGATCCGCAAAACATGCCGGTACCACCACCTCAAAGGCGAAACACCTCTCACCAGCGTGTCGCAACGATTTCGCAAAATTATAATGAGAAAACGATGTTATTGAGCAGCGACGATGAATTTCAATAAGGCACACGAATGTAGTTCGGGGAAATGTGATTTACGCTCGAGAATCGTATCGACAAATATTACAACGCGAAACTTCCATGAATTTCTAGAAATTTGCTTTCGAAGGGAGGATGCAAGAGAAAAACGATGTTTTAAGGAATTCGCATGAAGCGAATTTAATTCGTTCTTGCAGACCTTAAAAAAAAAGGGAAAAAGGGACATTGCGCAGAGCGTAAGAACGCATTGCGTTTCACTGTAATAGTTCCATAATGTTACATCCATGTTAATATATGTATTACGTTATAACATACGAGTAAAGAAATAGTATAGAAGATATTTATTTTACTATGCTGACATGTTTGAGGCAGTGTTATTCGTACACCCGTGGCTCTACTACGACACTGCAAGAAGTATTAAGTGCACGATAATGCTTGCTCTTCGTAATAGATAAGAAAAAAGTAATTGTATAGTACTTAATTTCACGCGCGATAACGCACTTTCTCAGAGTACTGTTTGTACGTAAGCATCGACACTTGTTTACACTTTTGTATCTGTTTTTATTTACGTGTTTGAATTTAGCAAACTTTGACTTTTACAATTTCGCATTCGTGCTTATTTGGGAAGCCTCGCGAGCCACAGGAATATTTGCGTCCTAAAATTATTCTTTCCTTGATTTCTTACGAAATGTACATGTATATATCACCGAGGTAGATTAAATCTGAAAATGCGGAGAAGTTGAAGCGAGTTTTCCTTCTCGACGAAAGCCTTTCGATATAAAAGAAAAAACAGAAAGATACATAACAATATTATATGTGCGAGGAAAGGACGATCGATGAGCATCGTGTCAGATATAAACATTTGGTATTCGGTGTCTTATGTATACAACTGTGTATAATCCTCATATTTTTTTTAAAAGCATAAGAGACGAGCCAAGTTAACAAATCTATTTTATATGACAGCACAGTGTGCCGAAATCTTTCGTCGCCATTTAAGAACGAAGTGAACGTGTAAATCTGTAAACAAATTTTATTGTCCTATTACATCTCGTAATAAAGATAAGACACAACTACATGAATAGAACATTATTTATTTACAATTAAAACATCTGTTAATAATACCTCATATATAGAAAATATACATATATATATTATATATATAT